TGCTTATACCTTGAATTTTAGTGGCCCTAGACTAGAGCAAGTTGTGGTACAGCAGATAATAAGAACGTGAACTTGAAAGTTTCCAGTTCAAATTCTATACCACCCGGGAAGCCATCAGGTAGCCTTAAAATAGCCATCTTCTGGCATCAGCAGTAAGGCAGTAAATAACATTGGCCTGGTAGACAGGTGTATTGTAAAGATTACTAAAATAATGCATGTGAAGACTAAGAACATTCATGGGTGCTACATAAACTGGGTACCTACCTAAGTACCTAAGTAGATAAACTGGGTACCTACCCTTAGAAGGGTAGGGGGCACCCTCCTCCGTCCAAGGATGTGGTGGGAGCATTGGCAACAGTGGCGGCGGCGACAACAGCAACAACGGTGTGGTGCGGCGATCCCTGGTGGCCAGAGAAGAACAACGACCGGCGGAGGTAGAAGGAGAGCCGAGGAGAGTCGCAGAGGAGCGGAAGAGCGACGCAAGGCGCAGGCTCGGCGGAGCCGGATACGGACATAGCCGAGCCGGAACCAATGCAGACCGTGCCAGAAGCCCCTGAGCAAAGGAGATCTGCCCTGACACCAGAGGGAACAAAAATGCCGACCTCAAATAAATGGACCGTCGGAGAGAAATCGGAGCCGGAGAACAGCCAATCCACCACTTGGGTGCCGGTAGGCAGCCCCCACCCCCTAGAATATGCGGCCTTAGTAAGGGACTGAAAAAGTTGCACTTGCAACTGCCTGTAAACCGCTCTGAGACCTGCGGGTCAGAGCGGTATAGAAATCGAATGAAATAATAATAATAATAATAAGTGCCAAGATAACCATTTAACAGAAGTAACATAACCAGGCACAAAGCACAGAGATATTCAAGAGAATTTGCCTTCTCTCCTTTGCAAGCAAATCTATTTTAGAGAAGTCCTCTTAAACTCTAATGTAGAAAAAAGGGTTTGTGGGGCCACCTCCAGCCAATGGATGGTTACAGAACCATAAGTACACATATGATTAAACAACTTGGATCTCACAGAAAGAATGGTGATATTAATAGAGAGGACATCTTCTGTGCAATATTAGGTTTATCATCTTTAAGGCCGTGATAATGATAATTAAGTATGTGTCTTCAAGGCATCATGTGTCTTCATGCCACCACTACCATCAACGGTGGTAAGAACATCGAAGCTGAGAGTGCCCTTAAATGTAGCGCTACTAGAATGCTGCAATGAGTACTGCGGGCGGGCTCGGACCATTTTTGGATGATGATGCCACCATTTTTTAACAACTTAAGACCGCCTGATAAAATGAAGCACTTTACTATTTATTATTGATTGTAATGTTATTGGATTTTATTCGATTTTATGTGATTTTATGTTCGGGCTATGCCCCTTGTAAGCCGCCCTGAGCCCGCTTGCGGGGAGGGCGGGGTAAAAATACTTAAATAAAATAAATAAATAAATAAATGAGTGACTGTTAGGAAACATTACCTTAAAACCTCAGAAGCACCAAATGTTGCAGCAAACAGTTACCACACTTCTAATAACACTCCTTTGCATTTATCTGTAACTAGAAGTGTTGACAGCACTTTGTGTGTATCTCTCAATAACGGTTACAAGGTATAGTCACCCTCATATCGCAGGACACAGGCAGGGAGGTGCAAAGGAAGAGAAGAAAGATGACAGAAATGCTTGTTTTCCTTTTTTTATAA